ATTTAGATAAAGAAAAATTGGATATCAAATTGGGGAGGAGGAGTATGGAAGAAGTGAATGTTTTCAGATACTTGGGAGTTGACGTGTCGGCGGATGGATTTATGAAGGATGAGGTTAATCATAGAGTTGATGAGGGAAAAAAGGTGAGTGGTGCGTTGAGGTATATGTGGAGTCAAAAAATGTTATCTATGGAGGCAAAGAAGGGAATGTATGAAAGTATAGTAGTACCAACACTCTTATATGGATGTGAAGCTTGGGTGGTAATGCAGCAGCGAGGAGAGCGGTTGGAGGCAGTGGAGATGTCCTGTCTAAGGCAATGTGTGGTGTAAATATTATGCAGAAAATTCGGAGTGTGGAAATTAGGAGAAGGTGTGGAGTTAATAAAAGCATTAGTCAGAGGGCAGAAGAGGGGTTGTTGAGGTGGTTTGGTCATTTAGAGAGAATGGATCAAAGTAGAATGACATGGAAAGCATATAAATCTATAGGGGAAGGAAAGAGGGGTAGGGGTCGTCCTCGAAAGGGTTGGAAAGAGGGGGTAAAGGAGGTTTTGTGGGCGAGGGGCTTGGACTTCCAGCAAGCGTGCATGAGCGTGTTAGATAGGAGTGAATGGAGACGAATGATACTTGGGACCTGACGATCTGTTGGAGTGTGAGCAGGGTAATATTTAGTGAAGGGATTCAGGGAAACCGGTTATTTTCTTATAGTCGGACTTGAGTCCTGGAAATGGGAAGTACAATGCCTGCACTTTAAAGGAGGGGTTTGGGATATTGGTGCTGTATAGCCCTTGTGGCTTAGCGCTTCTATTTGATTATAATAATAATTTGGGATATTGGCAGTTTGGAGGGATATGTTGTGTATCTTTATACGTATATGCTTCTAAACTGTTGTATTCTGAGCACCTCTGCAAAAGCAGTGATAATGTGTGAGTGTGGTGAAAGTGTTGAATGATGATGAAAGTATTTTCTTTTTTGGGATTTTCTTTCTTTTTTGGGTCACCCTGCCTCGGTGGGAGACGGCCGACTTGTTGAAAAAAAAAATTATATATATATATATATATATATATATATATATATATATATAATAATATAATATATATATATATATATATATATATATATATATATATATATATATATATATATTGTCGTGCCGAATATGTAAAACTGGTCAATTAGCAAGAACTCATTTAAAATTAAGTCATTTCCAAAATTTTCTCTATACGTTTAAAGATATATTTTTTTCATTAATGTTAATGTAAAAAATTTTAATTTTCCACCAAAAGAAACTTGGAAAACTTACCTAACCTTATTATAACAAGAACAATTTATTTTTAGCTTAACCCCAACTAAATATATTTTTAGATTTGTTTACAGTAATTTAATACTAAACAAACACAATGAACTATATTTTTTTCGTTAGGTTCAGAATGATTTTGGCGAAATTATTGCATACCCAATTTTTCGCTTGTCCTATATAGCAAGATAAGCGTTGCTATTTAAGCCAAGATCGCAAGTTCTGCCTATTCGGCACGACATATATATATATATATATATATATATATATTATATATATATATATATATATATATATATATATATATATATTATATATATATATATATATATATATATATATGTCGTGCCGAATATGTAAAACTGGTCAATTAGCAAGAACTCATTTAAAATTAAGTCCTTTCTGACATTTTCTCTTATACGTTCAAAGATATATTTTTTTTCATTAATGTTGATGTAAAAAATTATAATTTGCACCAAAGAATCTTAGAAAACTTACCTAACCTTATTATAACAAGAACAATTTATTTTAGCCTAACCCAACTAAATATATTTTAGATTTGTTTACAATAATTTAATACTAAAAAAACAGTGAAATATATTTTTTTCGTTAGGTTCCCAAAATTATTTTGGCGAAATTTTGCTACACAAATTTTCATTTGTCCTATATGGAAAGATGAGCTTTCTTTTAAGCCAAGATCGCAATTTCTGCCTTTTCGCACGACACATATTTTTATATAAAATTTATTTTTAATAAAATTATATATATATAATTTTATATAATATAATAATATATTTTAATATATATATATTTATTTATTTGGGGGTTGGCTAAAATAAATTGTTCTTGTTTATACGGTTAGGTAAGTTTTCAAAGTTCCTTTTGGTGCAAAATTATAAATTTTTACTCAACATTAATAAAAAAAAATTACTTTAAACGTATAAGAGAAAATTTCAGAAAGGAAAATTAATTTTTAAAAAGTTTCTTGCAATTGACCGTTTTTAATATTTTGGCACGACTATATATTTTATATTAATATATATATATAATTTTATATATATATATAATATATATATATATCATTTTAACTCGGCGTTTGCCACCGAGGCAGGTGATCTAAAAGAAAAAAAAGAAAAAAATTTTCATCTCATTCAAACTTTTTCCCTCATCTACATAACACTGTCTTTTGGGAGGCGCTCAAAAACGCAGTTTTTGATCCCTCCAAACTGCCAATATCCTAAACCCCTCTTTAAAGTGACACACACACACACACACCCCCCAATAATATATTTTTAATATATTATATTATATATATAATATATATATATATATATATATATGTATGTATATATATAAAGTCGTGCCCAAATGTAAAACTGGGCAATTACAAGAACTCATTTAAAATTAAGTCATTTCAGAAAATTTTCTTATACGTTTAAAGATAATATTTTTTTTAAAGTTAAAGTAAAAATTTTTTAAATTTTTCTCCAAAAAAATCTTAAAAAAAATTTTCTAACCTTATTAAAACAAGAACAATTTATTTTAGCCCCATTCCAACTAAAAATTTTTTTAATTTGTTTACAGTAATTTAATTCAAAAAAAAACACAGTGGGGAAAAAATTTTTTTTTGTTAGGTTCAGAATGATTTTGGCAAAATTAAAGCATACACAAATTTTTACTTGTCCCATATGGGAAGATGAACGTTGCTATTTAAGCCAAGATCGCAAGTTCTGCCTATTCGGCACGACACACACACACATTATATATATATATATATATATATATATATATATATATATATATATATATATATATATATTATATATATATATATATATATATATATAATGTATATATTTATATATATATATATATATATATATATATATATATAATGTGTATATATATATATATATATAATATATATATATATATATAATATATATATATATATATATATATATATATATATATATATATATAATATATATATATATATATATGCATCCAACCAGGGACACCATAGCCATCAACAACAACCCTGAGGAAGACCCCATCACTGAACAATTAAATTTGCCAGAATCGGAAGTCTATAAGGCGATTGTGTCATTTCCAGCAGGATCTGCAGGAGGTTACACTGGAATTCGACCTGAGCACCTCAGAGAGATGGTAAATCCAGTACTCGGTGCATCTGCATCAATTCTTCTCACCTAGTTAACAACTTTCGTCAACAACTGCCTGGCTGGGCGAATCCCAGAAGAAATTAAACTTTTCTGTTTTGGAGCCTCACTGTGTGCGTTGAAGAAGGATTGGGGAATCAGACCCATTGCGGATGGAAACACTCTTCGCCGTCTCGTTGCCAAAGTAGCAGTAAGAAACATTCGCCTAGAAGCTGCCACTTTACTCCAGCCACACCAGCTGGGCTTTGGGGTCTCTCAAGGCAGTGAAGCTGCAGCTCATGCGGCAAGGGCCTACATCAGGGACCTCCAAAAAGAAAAGGGGCCCGTAGTAAAACTTTTTTTGGGGAATCCCTTTTAAATTGGTGAAGGAGAAGGTTATCATAGAAATAGTGTGAAGGCCCCCAGGAAAACCAACAAAGATCTCAGAGGATTTGGTTTTCCTGGTGAAATGTTTGGTTCTTAAACTGTTTGATCAAGGCTCCTTGAAGTTGGCAGCTGCCAGAAACCCGGAAAATGAAACAATTTTTGATGCTGCTGTGAAGGAAAAAAAAATGTGGTACCCTTTCTTCATAAGGGATGGACGACAGATGAAGGGGAAAAAATTATATTTTCAGATGAGGCGCATTTTTTGAGAGAACGGGAACGGTGACAAATAAAGGCAATCCTGGCAATCTTTGCTTCTACTGTCGATAGCGACTTTCCCTGATGGAGAAGGCATTTTCCAACAGGATCTTGCTCCATGCCAGACTTCCAGAAAAATGCCAACATTCTTCGAAGAGAGTGGGCTAAGCATTCTAAATTGGCCTGGAAATTCTCCGGCCTCAACCCAAATTTAAGAACTTGGGTAAAAACCAAATGAGGATTTTTAAACGGGACTGGTCATCTGTGGAGAAGCTAATTGCTGCTGTTGTTACGACCTGGTACCATGACGAACTTGCCAAATTGTGTTCGACGTTGGTCGATTCATCTCTATGACCCTTGTGGGTTTAGTGTTTTATGATTTAATAAGGTCAATTATTATTATTTAATCAAAAAGAAGCGTAACCCATTTGGTCAGTTAATGCCCAACAATGCTTATAAAAGCTAAAGGTAGTCATATCTCTTGTTAAATCAGTTGTCTGTCATATCATTGCCGTGTATTTTTCAAATAAAACATTTCTCACGTCCCCCTTAATTTCACATACTGTATCAGTGATGTTTTGAAAAATCCCGACAGTGAAATTTAAATTAGACAAATTTTTGATTAAAAAAGGATACAAGAAGGTCTGCTTTAGCAGTAAAAATTTGGAAAAAACCCTTTATGTAAGCACTGAAGCGAGAAATTCTAATGCTTTAAGTAAGGTTGAATGGGTGTGTAAGTGGGTGTGAATTTGGACCCGCCTAAAGTGGCAAAAAGGTTTATGCAGTTCTTCATGTTTTTACGAGACTACGTAATTTTTATATGCAAGTTGTTTTCGAGGGCTTGTCAGGGAAAAAATTGATTCTACATTTGTAGTATTTATTTCATATTTACGTATTTCTTAGGAGGTATAGATGGCCAGAGTTCCCCGGTTTTCCCCTGACGGGTTAGTGATGATTGCCCCAGGTGGCTTGGGTCAAAAGTTTTAAGCATGTCGTCAGCTACTACATGTGTGATGGACTTGTCGCAGGATCCCTATTTCCCCGGCCCGAGGGCTTAGTCTACCTTTCCCGCATCCAAAGACGCAGGAGGGGGTACAGCAGCTCATGATGAAGCTAAAAAGATAAGAATGATATGCACTGGGGATTTGGGGGGGAAATAGTAGGGCACAAATGGTTTCTCAAAAAAAAAAGTTTAATTTAAAAAACTTGATCCTGTTGTATATTGAGAAATTTTGATATGGGATGTAATTAATTTTTAACTGTGATCCAAATAAAGTACGATGTATGTGTGTAATAAAATCCTAGTAACCAGGGGATATTCACAGTATGAAAATACCGTTTAAAAAAAAATAGTGAAATTTCAAGTGTTTTGAAATTTCTCACATCACATTTTTTTTTTTGTTGTTGGTGTTTTTTTTTGTATTTATGGTACCACCCAATTGTGGTTGCAGGGGGGCGATTCATAGCTCCTGGGGCCGCCTCTTCAGTGTCGCTATAGACCACTTCCCCCCTTTTCCCGACTATGTAAGTCCCGCCTCCCCTAAACACTTTCCAAACGTTCCCTTCCTGGACAACTCTGTGACTAAAGAAAAATTCTAACTCCCTGTGATCATCGTGTGTGTGGTTGCGGGGTTTGCGGCACCGTGCATAAACTTGTCGAATAGATCGAACTCCCCTTAAAAAATTTAAAAATTTAAAAAAAAAAATTTCAGAATGATAGATAATTTTTTTTATTGACAAAGATATAAAGATTTATATTTTTGGAAAATAAAACTAAGAAACCTCACCTGACCTTCCTTCAACTAACGCTTTTTTTAGCTAAACTCTTGATATTATATATTATATATATATATATATATATATATATATATATATATATTATATATTATATATATATAATATATATATATATATATATATATATATATATATATATATGTCGTGCCGAATAGGCAGAACTTGTGATCTTGGCTTAAATAGCAACGCTCATCTTGCCATATAGGACAAGTGAAAATTTGTGTATGCAATAATTTCGCCAAAATAATTCTGAACCTAACGAAAAAAATATATTTCACTGTGTTTGTTTAGTATTAAATTATTGTAAACGTATTTAAAATATATTTAGTTGAGTAGGTATAATAAATTCTTTATATATAGTAAGTTTCTAAGATTCTTTGGTGCAAAATATAAATTTTTTATAAACATTAATGAAAAAAATATATCTTTAAACGTATAAGAGAAAATTTCAGAAAGGACCTAATTTTAAATGAGATCTTACTAATTGACCAGTTTGCGATCTTGGCTTAAGTAGCAACGTTCATCTTGCCATATAGGACAAGGGAAAATTGTGTATGCAATAATTTCGCCAAAATCATTCTGAATCTAACGAAAAACTATATTTCACTGTTTGTTTAGTATTAAATTACTGTAAACAAATCTAAAATATACATGTATTTAACTGGGTTAATCTAAAATAAATTGCTCTTGTTATAATAAGGTTACGTAAGTTTTCTAAGATTCTTTTGGTGCAAAATTAAAAATTTTTACATTAACATTAATGAAAAAAAAAATATATTTAAACGTATAAGAGAAAATTTTAAAAAAGACTTAATTTTAAATGAGTTCTTGCTAATTGACCAGTTTTACATATTCGGCACAGTGTATATATATATATTATATATATATATATATATATATATATATATATATATATATATATATATATATATATATATATATATAATATATATATATATTATATATTTATTTATACTACATTAAAGCAATAATACATATTTTTTTTCGTTATGCTCAGATTAAATTTAGCCCCCCCAAAAAAAAAAATATCTTTGCTAATTCGGCAAAGGACGGCCTTGCTATGTGTGCTAAACTGCGCGATTCGACTTAAACAGCACCCCACACACAATATGTATGTACGTATGTATATGTCATGCCGATTAAGCCGAATCGCCCTGTAATATATATAAATATATATAATATACAATTTTCTGTAAAACTAAGTAAGACTGATTTAAGCAAGTTAGAGTTCATCGAAAATGTTTGCAAATTCATTTGCATACATTATTTTCAGCTAAAAATGCAGCATTATCAGTTGAGACTGCAGGATATGCTGTCCTAGCTATGATGGCCAGTGACAGCAGACTGTACGAACAAAAGGCAAGGAAAGTGATTAAATGGATCTCCACGCAGAGAAATGGAAGAGGTGGCTTCTACTCCACGCAGGTTATCTATTTTCTCTCTCAATTGCACATTAATGATTGATTAATATTCTGTAATATACAACATTTTTGTTTTGTCAGAATAATTTTTGTCTTGCTGTTTTACTTTCACGCAGGATACAGTTGTTGCCCTTCAAGCTCTCTCAAGCTACGAGACTCGTTTCTATGAGGGTGATTTAAACATGGTCGCCACAGTAAACGCAAGTGGTTTTGATTATTCTTTCACAGTGGACGAAAGCAACAAATTCTTGACTCAGCTAATGCCACTACCCGACCTTCCAACCAGAATCAGTCTTAATATAGTGGGTCAAGGCTGTGTCATGGTTCAGGTAGGTTTATCACCATTATATGTTACGGCAAGAGAGAAGGGGAAGGAGGAAACAAACTTGAGACTAATTTTTTTTTTCTTTCAGTATACTTAATAAAGTTCGTCCCGAACGAAACATTGTCTTTAGTAGAGGCTCATTCATGTATAGTTTTCTCTTCATTACATATTCAGCAGTTTTTGCCATATTTAAAATATGTGACATCCCTACAGGTATCACGTAGGTCGATTGGTAGCGCATTCAGCGCACACATTGACGTCCATGGTTCGATCCCAGTTCACCTAGCAGTAAGTGGGTACCTTGGTGTTAGCCGACTGACTAGTGTGAATCGCATCTTAGGGGACAAACTTAACCTAAATTGATAAATTAGACACCTGTGCAACACTTGGGTATCTTTATTGAGGAAACGTTTTGCCACACAGTGGCTTCATCAGTTGTATACAAAGAAGAATGGTGAAGATCAGGAGTTTAAGGTAATCAGTCCTTCAGCCTTGAGTCGATGTAATTAGTCTTGAAAAGAACACAGCTTATACGCAAAGTGGCTTATATACTGTAGACAGGTGAGGCGAAGCAGTTGCAGGCATTATTATATTTGACAAATCCATATGTGGAAGTAGGTCATGCCTGAAGGTTAGGTTAGTGAATTCCCTATATCAAGATTCCAAGATGTTACTGTGTCTGACAGGAATGTAGATAAATGGTTCAGAGAACCAACAAGTTGATAAATTAGACACATGTGCAACACTTGGGTATCTTTATTGAGGAAACGTTTCGCTACACAGTGGCTTCATCAGTTTTATACATGAGAACATAAGAAAGAAGGAACACTGCAGCAGGCCTACTGGCCCATGCGAGGCAGGTACAAGTCACCTACCGGCTTAAACCATTAACCCAACCTAGTCAGGTCCATTATTATAATAAAAAAGAAGCACTAAACCACAAGGGCTATACAGCATAGTCAGGTCCAGATCACATCCACTCAAGTATTTAACCTATTTTTAAAACTACACAATGTTTTAGCTTCTGTGACGGTATTCGGAAGTTTGTTCCACTAGTCCACAACTCTATTATCAAACCAGTGCTTTCCTATATCCTTCCTGAATCTGAATTTTTCCAACTTGAAACCATTGCTGCGAGTCCTGTCTTGGCTAGATATTTTTAGCACGCTATTTACATTCCCTTTATTTATTCCTGATTTCCATTTATGAAGACAAGAAGTACAAACAGCTGTTCGGACTATTATTATTATTATAATCAAAAAGAAGCGCTAAGCCACAAGGGCTACACAGCGCTGCAGGGTAGGGAACGAAGCGAGGGTATTGGATGGCAGAAGGGAGGAGGGATGATCAGTAGGTTACAGAAAACAGCGGGACAGGGGTTAGTACGGGGGTAGAGGATAGCAAGAGATTGAAGTAGAAAGGGCTGAAAGTATCAGAATTTGTGAAGTCAGTTGTCAAAAAGTCAGTGAGAGAGTCCGGATGAAAGGTGGGTCCATCAGCGAGAAGGGAAGGTAAAGAGAGAGCAGTGGAGCGAAGACGACGACGGAGGTAAATTCTGCGTGCTCGTTGATAAAGTGGGCAGTCCAACAGAATGCGGCTGACTGATAATGGAGCTTGGCAATTCTCACAGAGAGGAGCAGGGCGCCTCTCCATGAGATATCCATTAGTAAGACGAGTATGGCCAATGCGAAGACGGGAGAGTAGTCTCCCAACCTCGACACTGGTGATAAGAAGACGGCCAGTAACCTATACTTGGTTTAATAGATTGAAGTTTGTTGCTGAGCATAGTAGACCAACAGTGTTGCCAATGGGTGTGAAGGTGGGAAGATATTGCAGCAAAACAGTCCGTAAATGGAATACCTCTATATGAAACTGGTAGGTCATGTACTGCTGACCGCGCAGCAGTGTCTGCCTGTTCATTGCCCTGTACGTCAACATGACCAGGGACCCAACAAAAAACAATATCTTTATGCTTCTTAAAGATGCGGCGTAGCCAAAGTTGGATACGGAGGACTAAGGGGTGAGGTGTATCAAATTTCTGTATAGCCTGTAAAGCACTAAGGGAGTCTGAGACAACCACAAATGATGACACAGGCATAGATGCAATACGGATAAGTGCTGCAAGGATGGTATACAATTCAGCAGTAAAAATACTAGCCGGAGATAGTAAATGCCCTTGTACTATGCTGTCCGGAAACACTGCTGCGAATCCTACGCTGTCAGAAGACTTAGAGCCATCTGTGTACACAGCAATGGCATGAGAATGAGTGAAAGTGGTCAAGAAAAAGAGAGCGAGAAGCGACCGTAGACAGTTGGGCTTTCGAGCAAGGGAGAGAGAAAGAACAGACTCGAACAGCTGGAACTTCCCAGGGGGGGGTAGGGAAAAGTGAGATGCTACATGAACATAGAAAGGTGGTAATTGAAGAGAAGACAAGAGCGAATGAAGGTGAAGAGAGAAGGGACTGAGTAAACAGGGGCGGCGAACAAATAAAGAATGTCTACTAATATCAGTGACCATTCTATAAATGGAAGGATTGCGGAGATCATGAGAGCGTACATAGTAGCGAAGGCAATGGGCATCACGGCGATCGGATAAGGATGGAACGTTCGCTTCTGCATAGAGGCTCTCGACAGGGGAAGAGCAAAAAGCACCAAGGCATAAACGTAATCCTTGGTGATGAATGGGGTTAAGGCTAGAGAGAGTAGCAGGAGATGCCGCTGAATAGATCTGGTCACCATAATCAAGTTTCGATAAAATAAGGGTGGAATGTAGGCGAAGGAGGGTTTGACGATCAGCTCCCCATGAAAGATGAGCAAGGGTTTTAAGAAGGTTCAGCCGGCTGTGACAAGTTGCCTTCAGAGAGGTAATGTGAGGTTTCCAGGATAACCTACGATCAAAGAGGAGGCCCAGAAACTTGACTGTATCACGTTCAGGGATACGGGAGCCATAGAGGTACAAAGGATGATCTGAGGTGACAGAGTGTCTAGTGAAAGTAATTTGGTGGGTTTTAGTGCTGGAAAATTTAAACCCACGTGTGGTGGCCCAATTGGAAACACGGTCGACCACATGCTGGAGAGAAACTGTAATGAGGTGACAGTCAGCGCCTGCACAGGCAATAGCGAAGTCATCAACATAGAGTGATGACCAAATATTTGATGGAAGACTAGAGGCCAAATCATTAATAGCAAGGAGAAAAAGTGTTGTGCTCAGAACACATCCCTGGGGGATACGGTCAGCTTGGATAAAGTCCGGGGAGAGCACATTATTAAACCCCAAAAACGGAAATGCCTGTCAGTTAAAAAGTTCTTAAGGAAGGATGGTAGATTGCCCCGAAGGCCTAAGGAAATGGGCTTGGGCTAAAATATTATACCTCCAAGTTGTGTCATATGCCTTCTCAAGGTCAAAAAATATGGCAATAAAATGAGTGGTTATTCGCAAAGGCATTACGAACATATGTATCCAAGCGTAGTAAGGGGGGCTATGGTAGAACGTCCCTTACGAAAGCCATATTGACGAGTGGAGATACTGTTGTGTGTCTCTAAATACCACACTAAACGTCTATTTACTAGGCGTTCCATCACTTTGCAAACTGCACTGGTAAGAGCAAAGGGACGATAGTGGGAGGTTTTTATGTCCCGTAGTGCCTGGTTTGCGGAAAGGGAGAACAATGGTGGATTTCCCCAGCTGTGGAAGAACTCCTTGTGACCAAATAAAATTGTAAAAGGCGTAATAGGACTGCAAAGGCGACTAAATGTAAATGTTGTAGCAAAATAGAATATGAATGTCGTCGGCCCAGCTGCCGTTTGATCGGCAAGCTGAGGGGTTGCCTCCAGTTCTTGAAGTGTAAAAGGCACATTATACTGTTCTTCTCTGAGAGAAGAAAATCCAAGGGTGCTAACTCTCTGGCAGACTTTGAGGAAAGAAATGAGGGGCAAAGATGGAGTCCCTAGAAATACGGACCAGATGATTGCAATTTCATTGGCAACATCTAGTGGGTTTGCTATATCAACACCGGGAACCTGCAGAACAGGAGCCGGGTTTAGGAGAATATTTACCACTCAGTTTTCGTACTTTTTTCCAGACTGCACTCATAGAGGAAGCAGAGGTGAGGTGGAGACATAATCTCCCAGCAAGTGCGTTTAGCTCACGGGGGACATGGCGAGCGATCGCAAACTTCTGCTTAAATCAAGAAGTCTTTCTGTGGTTCTATTGTACCGGTACCTGCCCCATGCAGGCGTTTCAAACGTACTGCAAGAGCACAAGCAGGAGACCACCAAGGCACGCATTTCTGAGAATGCCTGCCCGAAGTTTGGGGTATAGAATGAGAAGCTGCGGTTAAAACGGAGACGAGAAGAGGGGTTTAAAAGCTCATCGATGGAGGACGAAGAAGGAACCCCCTCTAAAAAACAGTTAGGTGTGAGTAAAGGTTCCAATTTGCCTGATCAAATTGCCAGCGTGGGATGCGAAGAGGTGGTGAATATGAAAGGGGGAAATAAGAATGATTGGGAAAAAGAGCGCTGTCATGAAGTCAGGGAGAACAGACCAAGTGAAGTCTAATGGGCGGAGGAAGAGCAGACTGAGAAACGATGCAAGAAGAGTGTGAGTCCGAGGATCAAAATGGGTGTGAGTACCTGTATTTTAAAACAAAGGAGGGGTGGGTGGCAAGAAAAGCCTCTAACTGAATGCCACGGAACACAGTGAGACCCCCCCAAGAAAATGGTGGGCATTAAAATCCCAAGAACAATTCGGTGCATAATGACGAAACAAAAAAGGCAATAACCCGGAATAGATAAGCCGGGAAGGAGAGATATAAAGAAAGAGCGTATACCACTATGCAATGGATACGGGCGCTTGTTAATCAGCGAAGTAGAAAAATAGCTATGGTAGGAATTCATGCGTAAAAGAAGGGCACTTTCATTAAAGGCCCCCATCGGGAAAAAGGGATCTGAAGAAAATAATAAATTTAGCCTGAAAAGGGAACGTAACAGAGAGGTAATTTGGTT